CACACACACACACACTATATATATATATATATATATAGTGTGTGTGTGTGTTGACTCTCGCGCACTCCATTCTATAAATAGGAACAACGACACGTGTAGGCAAGTAACACTCATTGCCTCGAGTAAAAGGTCTCTGTATGAGTGTTTTGCTTTTATAAATAAAAGAAGTAGCTAATCATTCCAAATGGTTATAACTTTGTAGTGCATAACAGTTCGAAGGTCGCTGTGCAATGAACTCAATGTGAACTGAGCATGGATATACGAGATCTGGCGTTTTTTTCTTGCTATCGGAATGTTTCTTCACATAACTGTTAGCCAAGTTAAGTACCATTTTTGTTGAATAGACTTGAAATCGCAGAGATGATGGTCGGTCCTCTCCTGATTTGCAGGCATGACCACTACCGCACAAATTATTTTGTAAGGCGAAGATTTGACTCTTCATGAAATTCGTGCACATAATATCCCACTTGCGATGCGATCTGTTTAGAATATTCACTATTTTTAATAATTGGCCAAGTAACTTGTTATCTGTATAAAAAAATTCAGCAGCTGATACTAGGCGCTCAATTGAATGTTTCCCACAGCTCTGAAGTAAATATTACAGGGCTGAGACTGCGAAGTAGGATGGCCATTTTTTCCGTCACGCTCATTTGAGTTCACGAATGGACCATTGCCCAACAACATGAGGGTTGGTGCTGCGATGTGGGAAATATACTCAATTTAACTTTCATATATGATTTGGTTGGCGGGCTCGCCATAACACCAAATCTGCCGTGTATTCAAGTAAAGCACGTCATGTATGTTGTTCGATGATATTGTGTACGCCACTTTCTCTGGTCACACATTCAATCCAAAAAGAATGAATCCTTTCTGCACACTCCTGATTAACTATTTTCTTGGGGGTGCGGGGGGTGCTAAGATCGCATTTCTTGAGGATATATTTTGGCCGTCGACTGAACCAATAGACAACCTACCCTATTTAGCTAATTTTAGCCATGATTCGGATTTGTACGGGCTACCAATAACTATTCTCGAAGACAAAGCTGTCACACTGTATCCAGTATGCCTTGTATATTGCTGAAAGACTGGCTGCAAGTCAATCAGGTACACAATACAGCCCCCCCTGATGTTCTCCCTGACGTTCTCCCTGAATGCAAGAAGTGTGTACTCAAATCTACCAACACAAATTTCGTCGATGGTGCTAATGTTCCAGAAAAGTTCCATTCATCTGCATTAGATAAAATCGACATACTACAGCAATCGCACTACTTGACCGTACGCCTATAAATCCAATCAATCGAGCCAAGGCTTGGGCTACCAATAATGGGATTGCCCATCCGAGTTTGTGATCGCCTACAGTATATCCGAGACCCAAAATGCGTCTTGTTCACCCTTATCCGACTTCCCACGTACCAGTATCTACCATCGACTAATATATTCTCCATAGCTCCTAGTATACCTCCACACAAATTTATCGTAAACCTGGGACAGGGACAATTTCCAAAAAAAAATCAGAAAATACTGTGATGCCTCATGTTTCGTCCAACGCACCAGCAGACGCAATTGGTTGAACTACAATGAAGCATATACGAATACTATGAAACTAATGCCGAATGTAACAAATGCCAATCGCACTTGATTACAGCTCCAGCATGCGCGGCATTTTCTCGAGTTGCTCAAGTGCGGCCTCGGCACGACCTTTGACATCAAAATTGGGATCGTCTGGGTTTGACGTAAAAGAAAGATTCAGAATGAGAAGTCGTCGCGTACGAGGCAATTGCGGGTGTGTAAAATAAGAGATGCAATTGCGGTGAGGATTATCATTGCGAATGTATATACACAAAGGGATGATTTCGAGTGATAGCATGGCATCTTTAGACTGGCAGTTACTTTAACACTCAACCGAACAACAATCCTGGATAACAAGGATATTAAACTAGAATGGCTGGCAGTTACTTTAACACTCAACCGAACAACAATCCTGAATAATAAGGATATTAAACTAGAATGACTGGCAGTTACTTTAACATTCAATCCACCAACAATCCTGGATAATAAGGATATTAAACTACTGGATAATAAGGATATTAAACTAGGATAAATGGGCTATGTACATGTTTGACATACTATGTTCCGATTTTTAGTTTTCTTTGAATGTACATCTATCTCTGTGTATGCGGAAAGCACTGCGGCGCTAAAAAAACATGTACAATATGTATTAATCTAATCAAGAAGGTGGTATTACGATCAGCGACACAATGCATGCCCAGCATCGATCGGTGTGGCGTCGTAAAAACAATAAAAATAATGAAAATATGAAAATATATATATAAATATATATATATATATACGTATACATATATTAAAAAATACACACATATATATATATATACAGATATATACATATGCTTATATGTATAGATACATACATATATATATATATATTTATATATAAACATACATACATACATATATCTATATACATACATATATATATATATATATATTTACATATACACATATATATATATATAAATACAGATACATATGCATATATACATTTACATATACATATATACATATATACACATATACATATGTAAATATATATAGAACACACACACACACATATATATATATATATATATATATATATTATATATATATATATATATATATGTATGTATATATACATAGATGTATATCTACGTATCTATCGATATGTATATTTATATCTATATCTATGTATGTATATATACATAGATGTATATCTACGTATTTATCGATATGTATATTTACATCTATATCTATATCTATATATACATATATGTGAATATATATATATGTATATTTATGTACACAGATATATATATATATATGTATGTATGTATGTATGTATATATATATATATATGTGTGTGTGTTTAAATGTATATAAATATATATATATATATGAATAAGTATAAGTATATATATATATATATATATAGATTTATATATATATATATATATATTCTATATATCTATTTATATATATATATCTATACATCTATAACTATAACTATAACTCTATATATATATATATATATATATAAAGTTATAGTTATAGCTATAGATATATAGATATATATATATAAATAGATATATAGATATAGATATATATAATTTTTGTATTTGATGGTATGAACATGAGCCTGTTCAACTAGGCGCGGCATGTATAGCATGTGTAGCTGTCCGGTATTGTTTGATACGAAACCCATGGATATACACACACGTACATTGCCACGCGGTAAAGACGGCCGCTACATTGGACACGAAGCCATTCAACCACAAGTTTGTATATTTCCATTTCGGCCATGTATTGTCATTGCACAGATCACACAATTTTTAAAAATTCGAATATCCTGTACAAGTTCTGAATGCGGCTGACAACGGTATGTAGCACTAAGGCGGAAGTAGTAACCAAATAACATACTTTTCAAATTGCGAAGTGTTCGGTCCATGCCCAGTCCACGGATCACTCGCACACGCTCTTCCACTCCTGTACATGATGATATATGTTAATAAAAATGCCCTCCATACTTTTGCATGAAACATGTGTACATGGAAGAGAGCGCAGCCGAAAAGGTGCTTCATTCATACAACACACCTTCATCCTCTGGCCAGCTCAAGTTTATAATACACCATGCAGCCACCACTTTCAAGGCATCTTCTCTCGATTCCTATGAGGCAAGAAAATATATGGTTCAATTACATATTCTCGATAGATGATAGTCACTTCGGAGATGTATCATCTGTAGGGTGGTGAGAAAGTATTTGATAGGCGTGTGCTTCTAAACATAATATATATATATATATACTATATTATAATATATATATATATACCAAGCTGCACACCACACAAACAGACGACATGTCACAGACAGGCTTTAATATATTAGCGGAGTTTGGATTTGGCGTGTTGACTTATACACATGCATAAACACCGTTGTACATTTACTCTCTATTGCCTACCGACCCACAGACGTACCAGGCAGGCCTTGATGCATTTAAGGCATTCAGGATTTTCCATGATCAGGTTTTTGTGTTTCCGTGAGCCTGTGGCAATGTTAACTAAGACATATCCCGCCTGTGAATATGAGAGGGTGAAGCGAAAATGGTCGGAATGCGCGTGGGGAGAAGAAATTCAAACAGAACTTTGAACACGTGTTGAGTAAAATTCAATATGAAATAGAACGACTCGATTAAATTGTCATAGTACGTGTTAAAGCTGTGAAGCGAGCAGCAAGTATGTGACACGCATCCTTTTGTACTTCAAAAGCTAGATTTCAGTTAAGAACATACAGCCTCGCGCACATATGGCCCCCACAGACAATTTTAAAACACTCTGAATCGCCCCTAGATCGACCCAATATAGCCACATGCGTAATAAAGCACATACGTACCTCCTGTACCAGACTTGGGTGGGCATTGTTCTGCATCTTCTCCACTAAAACAGCAATCATATTGTCGCCCGGATTATCGCCCGGCGCCTTCACAACCAGGTCTATGGCATTCTCCCCACACTCATCGCCACCAGAAGCCAGATTGCGTAGACACGTCAAGGTTTGTCTCTGTATCTCCAGACTTTCATCGTTGAGTAGCTCGTAGATTCGCTGCCACCCAAGCAAAGCCACCACCTGGTATGAGAGTTGTTGCAATAATTAGTTTTACGAAAACATGGCTAGAATGGTCCATACTGCATGCGAATACACAACCACGTTTCTAAACTTCAGTCGTCCACACGCATTGACTTCTACGCTCTATGATTGTAATATGAGCAGCCATCCGCGCAGGCCTGGACAGATATACAACCTCTTCAAAAAATCACACACACACACACACCCGGAAGAAGCAGAGGCGGACACCATACCTTCTTCCTCACCAGGATGCTGGCTTGATACAACAGGTTCTTGATGGCCCACATGCAGTTCAGCCTCAGCTCAGGATCGGACGAGTGTGTGAGCGCCACGAGTCGTTCCACCACACCCTGGTCCAACATACTCTGCTTCATTGGACTAAAGTCCAGCACCATATTGCACAGGGCAGCGCATGCAGCCGCCTGTACCTCGGCATTGCTGTCGCTCAGCAGCTTGAAGAGAGGTTTGGCAGCACCCGCATCCACCAGCGCCGTGCGAAGCGTCTTGACCGACCTGGAGAGCGATCGTGTGCATCTACACGCTGCCGAGCGCACCTGCACGTAAGGTGAGTCCAGTTGCTTGACGATATCGGGTAGTAGCTTGGCCTCGATAATCTGCTTGCGGCTGCTCTCGCGTTTGGCACATACAGAGGCGAGTGCGCTGAGCACAGCCTCGCGAAGGTCGGTCTTGTGTGATTCGCTGAGCGTGTCGTCGTTGGCGGCAGTGAAGGACTTCATGAGTTTGCTGATGACATCGGCTTCGCACGCGGCTTTCTCGAGTGCTTCGCTGTCTTCTACCAAGTACGCGAGCACGTGCTGGGGGGATGAAATTGTATCGGGTTTAGACTAAACACCCAGAGAGGCGATGTAAACTCCCATAGGTATGCTTAGGTGTCATGTATATACACGTTTGTATATATACAGTTGAATTTTCGAGTGATTTCGTTGTCGTCAACTAGAGAAGCGAGCACGGGTTTTGAAATGAAGTCTAAAAATCGGCGTGGCTGCATATATTTTAGCGAGAAAATGTTGAAATAGCATACATATGTAAGTATAGAACTACATGCGCAAATGTTTATTTGTGTTTCTTGAGAACTTTGATGTCATCTAATTGGTAAGCGGGAACGTGGCGTGTCAAAAGATGCGGAGAAAGTACAAATACCATATGATCTTAATTCACTGCCTTCAGTGGTTAATAAAAATTGTATATCAAGTGTTTGGATATGTACAACCATTCAAGTGCCTTTATGCATTGATCATACAAATAACTAAACATTGATGATGCCTTCATGCCAAGTAAATATAAACAGGTTGACATGTACACAAGTATGTGTACGTTCTGTAACGTATTGATCTAAATCACTTATTCTAAGCATGAATAGATACGTCACATACACATTGATATGAGCATTTCGAATCCAATTTACACAATGTTTGTGCTTTTAAGCAATAGGATCAGAGCTAATAGTTAGTATGTTTGGAGATGTTCTCATCGATATCACAATACGTATACAGTGCTTGAATATACACAGAAACATAGCAAAGACATAGACCCATTTGTAGATATACAAAATGTAAACTGTTGCAGCGACAACTTGCAATCACGACTGAGCTCTGCTTATTTTAGTAGCACCTGTGAGCTTCTTGAGTAGCGCAGAATCCACTCCAATTTATAAAAGCAAGAAACCAAACAAACACGAAACAGGATGACCACCTCGAGGTGTACATACCGGCGCGCGGATGCGAATGTTCGTGTCCGGGTCTCCGCAAAGTTTTACCAGTGTCGGCAGTAGCGTCATGGCCACAGCATTCTGCAACTATACCATAAAACAAAGTAGTTTTAAAGATAGATTAGAAATCTTGAAATAAGATACAAACGATGCTATAATATCTAATCGCAAAGATTTAAACGAGAAAGCAATCCATGAAGCTAGTCGAGTGTACACTCATCAAGTAGAAGCTCAAAATATATTGCGATTGTCTCAAATATTCATTCAGATATGTATTAATATATAAACCTATATATACATATATATATATATGCATAAACATATATATATATATATAAATATATATATATATATATATATATGTAAATATATATGTATATATATATATAAAGGTCAATACATTGTGTATTATACACATACACACAAACAAACAAACAAACAATATATATATATATATATATATTATGTATTGTATATATATACATATGCATGTATACACGCACACACACACACAGGCGCACGCACGCACACGCACGCACATATATACAAATGTATATGTATATATATATATATATATACATAATTCCGAAGCATATATAAACAAACTGTACTTGACAATGTGTGCGCACATAAATTTATATATGCATAGCATATTAAAAAAATGCATAAAACAAAAATGCATATTTATACAGAAACATTTAGGCACGAGCAATTATTGCGACAAATGCAATTCAACAAAATCATTATTTGTGCTAAATATCTGGATCTTTTCGCAAGCCCAGCAAGTTTTCGAATGTAGTCCGCCACATGCCTATGCTTTAGAAGATATGGTACCAGAACGTCAGATCTATTGTTTCATAACGTTCTATCAAGCCAACCGCTCTCGAAGAAACTTCCGACAGATAGCGGAGTGTTTAACACAGTAATACATATTCTATTCATTCTAATATTAGGGAGGGAGGAAACTAATATGCCAGCACGACCAGAATTGGGCTGGTGTCTTTCCCCTCTCCGCAAAATATTATAAGTGGAACTAGCTAGTCACTGTGTACAGGATTCCGCTATCGATCGGAGTTCTCCTCGAAAGCTCACGCTCTGGAGTGCGAAAGCCTCGGTACAGTGGCAATAGCTGTATTGATTTGGTGTTCGTGACTTAGCTACATTGATAATACAGATCAACCATATACAATATAATATAATATAATATAATATAAATCATAATATGATTTTTAACACACACACACACACATATATATATATATATAACATACATATAACATACATATAACATACATATAACATACATACATATATATATATATATATATGTGTGTGTGTTTGTATGTATGTACGTATGTATGTATGTTATATATATATATATATATATATGTATACATGAATATACATCTATAATAGATATATAGATATACACATATATATATATATATAGATAAACATCGATATACATGTATATGTATGTATATATATACTGTATAATTCATTTGCATCAAAAACTGCGAATGCCAGTTTGAATACTAAACTACTTTGAGTATATATACTACTACTAATCACATTTCGTAATCCCATCAAGTCTTTGTTATAGACCGACGCACATCGGTCATGTGGACAAATATCGAAACACCACATCCATACATATCCTGCAATTCCGCACAGATTACCGCTTACGAGAGGTTGAGGTCTTGTGAATAAAAAATCGACAGATAGCGAAATATTGGACACAGTAACGAAGAGAATCTTAACGTCTTGCTATGAAGGAGAGGAAGATAGCAAGTATACCAGCGACACAATATGTATCGGGTGTCTTCCTTTATCAAACTTAACATGTCAAGTGAAATTTGGCCAGTTACTGTGTCCAAAATATTGCTATCGATCGAAGTCCTTCTCAATGGCCTACAACCAAACACGTGATAATTTCGGTAAGTCGCAGTAGCTAAATTGTACTAGTGTACGTGAACTAGCTGCAGGCAAACACACGATTACAAATTATATGACTTGCTTCACAACAAAGTTCTACATATTTGTAAAAACAACGATCAATATATCTGCAAAAAATAATATTAATATCGCAGATAAACAGAAGATTATATCCACATATATGTGAAAATCAAACAACATACAGCACATTGAACGCTATTTTTAAGTGACTAGTGAAACATACATCCATACATACTCAAAGGAAAAATATGCCGTACGGCAATTATATATATATTTATATAATATAAAATATGAAATTTTCAAAATATTAATTATATATATATATATATATATATATGTATATATATATATATATATAATATATATATATATATTATATATATAGCTATAATATATATTATAATACA